GGTGGTGTCCCGAAACAAGCATTTGTGGAAACACAAACGCATGTAAAACACCTATTACGGTAAGAATTCAATAGACTTCTGTTCATGAAATGTTTAAATGTTGGAAGGTTTCTATGAAGATGTGAGCCTAGTTAATTAGGCTGTGCCTAGGTCTTAGGATCTTAGAAAAGTTCTTTGTTATGGGCTCATGAGAGCTATGTAGAGGAGGGTTTCCGGCACTGCTGTACTCATTAGAGTAGCACAGACTTGTGCAGACTATCTTTGTGTTTGCCCATTTTGTTTAGCTTTACAAGGTAAAGAACCACATACCATACACGTAATAGAGACTTATGAACCGTGGTGTTAATGCTCTCCTTAACCCACAATTCTCTCACACAAAAACCTAAAAACAGAATGAATAGGTATGCCACCGGCAATGTTCAGCATTGGACTGCTTCAAGCGATGTTGGGGAAAGAAATTAAATCACCCCTGACCCTACTAAAATGGTCTAAGCAAACTCTTCCTATTCACATGCAAACATGCAACCTGAAAGGTAGCATACTAACAAACTAGATGAGCAAGTCACCACTTTCACTACCACAACTGATATGGATATCACGAAACTGGGTCGCAAAAGTCAGATAAAAACTACTGCAGGTATCTGAATAGAAGGATACTCAACGGCACATTCTCTATGTGAGCATGTTAATTTTTCTTGCTTGAAATAAAAGTAGAGTAAAAAGGGAATGTGATAAATGAGGAAAGATGCCGTCAAAACGCCACTGAACGGTAGGATCTCATCTTTTGTGAGGTGGACCACGAGGAGGAACTAGTTGCTGAGGAAGGAAGAACAGCAGGGAAACCACAGCGGTAAATGATACGCAAACCACTCCGTAGACCTTTGCGCTACAGGCAACAGCTGCAGCGGAGTCAAGCCGAACGGCAATGTTCTAGTGCTGTTGCGCGTGCGGGAACGGCACATATTCTTTCTATAGACGGCCTTATATTCCACACGAGGAAAGGTTTGATTCATTCAGCTCAATCGGGAATGGGTCTCTAATAGTAAGAAATGAGGTTAACGAGGCTATCGCTGCTCTATTATCAATTTTTACTCGAAACAATTTGCAGCTGTCGTTGAACTGTCCACGACTTCCTGATCCAGCTTATGCCTACAACGAGACCTTCGTTCGCTATTACATCACTCCTCTCGTTGCTGGTGTTTTCCCTTCGACTCCGGAAAAGTGCTTGAAGTAAGTTTTTAGCTTCCGTTTAATAGCAGGGAACTTCCCAAGTTTAAAAAATATTCAGCTTTAACAGGAATACACTTTAGATCGCAGCTTCCCTATGTGGCTTTCTACAAAACTGTCGACGTGAAATGCGCAATTGAGATGCCAGGTAAGATCCATCGTCTAGGCCATCATAAATTTTGGATTGTAGTAAGGTTGAACTACCTTGAATTAAAGGAGGATTCATGATAAGAACAAAGGTCGAAGAAGGGGAAATTTACCTAGTGGAGAGACAGGTGGACCCCTAAGGGTGCGGACCAACACGCAATTCGCATCGAAGGATATGCCCCGGCGATCTAGCATGGCCTTCCCTTTGGCGCAGTTGGCCCGGAACGCCCACCGACTATCTACCCGCTCGCCGCAGATCTATACGCGGCGAGTGATTAGACAGCAGAG